CACAAATCTGGTTGTATTTTGGCTGCTGTAACATATCTTTATTATTTCTAACTGTCAAAATTTGGACTGATTCCGATAAAATTAAAGTTGTGTACACATTTAGTTTGATATAATTGCATGATGGCTGTGAGTGAGAAGTGGATGGTACATGTAATATTGTACATGTAATATTTGAATGAACACAAATATTCATATTTTAATTTAGCAGTGGTGTCATTACTTTTATCAAAGCACACAGTAAAAATTGAATATGGACTGCAATTTGACAAGATAAAATGTTGTTTAGAATATCCAACACATTTTTTACACGAGAAATTTTTGTTACTGGCTGTTTAAGTCGAAATGAAAAACAGTTATTGAATCATGAACTTCAAATTCTAAGTATTTTGAGAGATTTCCAATTCAAAATGGCTGCCGCTGTAAGGCTTAATTCTTAATGGGGGAAATCATAGAGTCATTTCCATCTGATGAAACGAAATTGATCACGTCATTGCTAGTTTTATCCTTAAGGAATACTTGACAAATGACATACTGTAAACCACTTGGTTTTTTTTGCTGGAGATTTTCATAACTGGCTCTATAAATTTGTCTCTTGCGAATTAAAAACGGTTTACGGTATTTGATCACACTGTCAAGGACTACGTGGTATTTTAGATAAAATTTGAAATGTAAAGGAGATATTTTATTTTTTACCAGTGTATTGGTATGGTAACACGCAAAGACCTTGCTCGCTACAGTCTCAATGTCAGATGGAATTGCAGTGTATCGCTGGACGAACTTGAAGTAAGAAGAAGCTGATTTCATAACATGATGGGTGTGAATACTAATCGTGACGGTGGATGGCGTGCACGGATGTGGTGGCACCAAGACAATGGTAAAAAAGCGGTAATACACAGAAAATGCACTCTGTTGATTGGTCAGGCGTGATGTTTGGTGGAGGTGATGCTTACCCACTATGTCACATGCCTGGGTTGGTAACGTCAATGCTTCCATTGCTGTGGCCTAGACATCACTCCGTGAGGTCTGAGATCACTACGAACAAACAAAAACAAGGAGTGTATTAAACCACTAATAATTGAAAATACAAGCTGAAGATGTTGATTCGAAAAAGCAAAATTTATCAAAAATAAAAATACTGTCAATGAGATTACATTGAGATTTTGATTACTGTCTTGAGATTATGATTACACCATCTTGTTTTGAAGAAAAAGAAATGAGCTGGCTTTGACAGAATTTGTCACAACTACTTTGCAATATCATTTACACTATGCAGAGGCTGAATATATCAATATATTCATACATTATTGATTCATTGTATAATGACTCAGAAGTGCACATTTTTTTCTGTTTGCAGTAACAATTAGTACAAAAAGTTGTGAAAAACTACATAGTATGTTGTGTTCCTTCTCAAATATTCATACTTACTTATTCTGCTTGATTCCTATTTTATACTACCAGTAGTTATTTTACTCTAACATTATGAATAATAGTCTAGAAATGTAACAGTTGTCCTTTTTTTTCAAATACCCACAATGCATCTGTTCTATAAAAAGTATTTTCTGCAAAGCAAGCATGGTAGTGGAACAAAATTAACATTTTCGGAAAATTTATCCGAAAACATCTGCAAAAGAAAACTAGAGCCTCTCTCCAAACATTTCACCAATTGTTTCCCAAATGGCCAAATGTTGGAACATAATGCTATGAGGGGACCTCCTTAGTATTAAAACTTGTTTAACCATACCTTTTTTTCTCATACTTGAAACCCATTTGATAGAATCTGTAAATTATTGAAAAGTGATGAAAATTCATCTTTCTACCCTCTCTGTCTGGCACAGAATATAGTGCTGTTTGAATCTGACGGCTTTTAATCTATTTTCCATGACCCTGAAAGTTCACACATCCTGGTACTTTCTTGGGAAAGAAATTCACTACCAATGAGAATATAAGGTTCAGAAGGTACATGTACCAGGATGTATGACCTTTAGGGGTCAGACAGTACCAGGACGCATGACCTTTAGGGGTTAGAAAGTACCAGGATGTATGACCTTTCGGGGTTAGAAAGTACCAGGATGTATGACCTTTCGGGGTTAGAAAGTACCAGGATGTGTGACCTTTAGGGGTTAGAAAGTACCAGGATGTATAACCTTTAGGGGTTATGCATACAGTTTGTTGATGATTATAAATTCTTTGAAAACTATATTTAAAAGATGAAACATCATATTAGTTTATTTCGTCAATAATAAACATTGAAAATAACTGAATTTGGTAACAAAAAACGTTGTTTGAAAA